AATGTTGTGTGTGACGTGTCAGGATATGATGGACTTGGCCTCTGTTCTTGAATCTTTCTCTTTGTCTGATGGCATCGAAACCCACGCTCTACCAAAACTATAGTTTTCAATACTTGAAAAATGTAAGGAGTTTAAATAAAAGTGATGTTTTTCATGCCCAGTACTGAAACACTTAAAATCAAATCTAGAGTCCTTTATCAAAAATGTAATATATGCAGTGTCATCTATTGAAATTTTGAATTACCTGGGTTTCCAAGCTCTCTACATTCAAAATGTCCTAAATCTATTGATTTTTCAATATAGGTAAAAGAATAAGAAGGCAAAAAATGCGTAACAATTAAAAAATGTCTGAATAGTCAAATTCTTAAATTTATTTTATTTATGCTTTATTTAATGGCACTGTCAATAGCTGAAGATATTATAAAAGTGAAATTTAAGCAAACCAAACTGTTTTGAATGGGGAATTATTCTGCCAAGATTCTTCCAGATTTTTGCCTTTAAAATCATCCTCTGAACCCAAGCCACACTTCACTCTGACAGCCTAATCTTAAAAAGGGTCCGGCAATAAATTTACATCAATGCTGCACGGTTTTCAAGCCAATTTTCATACAGGTATTATCCAAGATGGCACTTGGAAAATTATGCAAGAACTCTTCAGCAAGGAAATTCAGACAAGACATAAGTGTTCTCCTGGGCTGTGTAGGCAGATACCTACGAGTCTACACGGCATCACAACTGAACAGAATCACCACCACCACCACCACTGTCATGAGAATACCAAAATCTTGCAGATTAGACATAATTTTATTTTGGTTCAGGAATGCTAATCAAGATCTTTCTCAAGAGTTCAGTGAGATAAGTGAATTATAAAATGTTTCCAGCTTGTAGTCAGCTTATCGAAAGCCGAATTTTCTTCAAGCTCAGACAGCCTCACAGTGAGCAGGAACACTTGCATTTCTTCCTGGCAGCTTGAAACTGAGAACTGAGATTGTTAATAACCTCAAAAAACGTCTGCAAGGTATGCCAGTAAAAGCTGAAATATTTTGTCTGAAAGTGTCATATAATTCTTATTTCATTTTTGACCTTAAAGAAGAATCAATTCAGCATATTTCCTCTTGACTTGCAGCAGAATTCCAAGCAAAAGAGAGAGCTATATGATCAGGAAGATCATTTTCTTGAAAAAATCAGAAGAAAATAGACAAGAAACTGACTGAGCTTCATTGGTGGTATCATCTCAATGAAGTACAAAGAAAAACGATGCTCTTATTTCTTCTGAAACTTGTCTTTCTACGTCCTTTGCAAGTTCATAAATATGACACTTCACTGTATTATCATACAGTGACATTTTTTACAACTTTCTTGACTTTTGGTGCCAAGTACAATATTTAAAGCAGTCAACAAGCACAGTTACACAAGTGTCTCTCCATGTGGGCTTTGTTTGCTTCAGTGATAAGCAGTGACATCTCATGAGACAGTTCCGCCAGTCAGGCTGTGTTCTAACGAAAAGCACTTGTAATGTCCATCTACATGTGTTTCAAGTGACGATGTTTGGCTGCCAAAAACTCTTTTGGATTTTCTTAACTCCTTTGGTTTATGTACAAATGTTGCTCCAGACACCACTGCTCATAACTGCATGACATAAGATGCACTGAGAGAGGTTAATCCCATTTCTTCGGGCACTGGTGAAGCCAAACTCGATACACTCTTCATTACATAAAGGTGATCAAAATGTTATAATTATTGGCAGACGCAGAGGACTAGCAGGATACTCCACTGTTCAAGGTACATTCATGAGAGAGGGGAGGCGGGGAACCGCAAACACTGCACTATGACACAAGCTTTACACTCTTTTGTCATCATCTCTGCTATAAATAACTTTCTTTCTCCTTTTAAAGACACGCAGGTGTGCTCGTCTTTGGAAATTAATAATGCTAATACCGTAAACCTACTCTAATTGTTCTAGCATTTGGATTAAAAATTCTGGTAGAGGCCAACAAAATTGATGATCAAACACAGCTCAGAAAACATATTTTCCAGATGAATTTTACATTAATAATTTGTTTTCTTATCATGGCCTCATGCCCCGAGAGGGACGCACACACTCAATTTGGGAGTCAGCGAGTGCAAAATGATAGATTAGTAAAAAAAATTAATTGGAAAGGATGTGGAAGTAAGTAGTCATGGTATAATTTAAGATATTAGTCAAGCATTTTCCTGGAAGGACTGAGAAAAACCACAATAAACTTGTCACAATAGCCAGTCTCCAAGTCATAATTTAGACCCTATAGTTCACAAATAAAATCAGAAGCAGTAACTGCTTGAGGGCAATGTTCTGTAAAATTCCTATATACCATATACACGTGTTTATGTTGTACAACATTCACTTTAATGCCTAATAAAGCTGAGCATTGGAATCAGATGCTACTTTTGGTGATAAGCCAGAGTAAATAACTGAACAGTAGACCTGTGGTCCAGCTGTTTTTAAAGTTCAAGATATTTTAAAGGCATGCCCAAATTAACAGATATTTGGTCCAGAATTTATACGGTCCTAAATCCATGCTAGCAATACTAAACTACATATCAATTTGAGAGGTTTGAAGAAGTTGCAAATATATTCCACGAAGAAGAAGGTGTCTGTTCTGCTTTAAAATAGTTATTAACTTCAAAAGGGAAGATAGAGTGAACAAACCAACAACTATTAACACTATAATGGACACTATTGCCATACGCGTTTCGACCTCAAGAGGTCATCATCAGTGGCATCAGGGAAATTAATACATATAGTCAAATGGTTCGAGCAAATTTCATAATTAAAGTAGAAGGTAATTGACAAGATGACTGCACTAGATGCTGTTATTCACAGGAGTAAAACTAAATAATCCAATCAGGATAACTTTCCAAGATTCAGAGGTGATGAATTAAATATGACAGGAGACAACAATTAAGGAATCAAGAAGTTTAACAAATATATCAGCACGATAAACTAAGGTTCCACATGACAACCGGTGGGAGACCAGCATTTGCATGTTCCTCCTAAGCAACCCCATCAACGACAGACAGAAACACAACTAAACCCAAGACTGCTGTTTTCATTCATGTTATGGGCACCAAAGAAAAAATCAGCATTTCATTCATTTTAGATTTCCAAATACTGGAATCACAAGACAGTGCTTGAGACACTTCTACATTGGCTAACCAGCATTCAATGTAACCAAGTATCAGTCTTGTCTCTGCAAAAGTAACCTGTATCTACTGGTATTTCACTGTTCGGTAATCATTAATACATACAGCAATTACAATATGGTGTCAAGACACTAAAAAATAAAACTGCACAAGAACAACGCATATTCTTGGGAATGTCATAAGAACCATGAAATTTCGCAGGCAAGGTTTCAAGTTTTCATGGCACCCTAATAATGGCAGCAGCAAGCGCCTCAGATATACTGGTAAACTTTTACCAGACTATGCAATGCAAGATCAAAGAATTTTCAAGCAATTTTATAGTTTCAGCAAAGTATATTTCAAGAAAAGCTTCGATAAAGTATGGGTGCTTTTATTACAAAAAATAATTCCATCACTTTCGTATCATGATGAATATGACAATGAAAACAAAAGTGCGCAATAATTACTTTTTGTTAAATCTGGATCCACAGGTTATTTGATAATTCTACGTAAAGTATGAAAGTTATTTAGTACCAGTGAAAGCAGTTACACTGAACTGGAAAAGGACATAGAAGAAATCTCAACAAAAGGCTTAGTTTTAAATTTGTCTCCATATTAACCTGGACCGAGATCAAAACCACTGACCAATCCAAGTACACATGAAAGAAAGTCTGCAAGCACACTGAAACGAAACTGTAAAGAAGTACCGACAGAATAATTGACATTCATACTTTATTCTGAAAAAATTACAGACATTCAACTTCCTTTCATGTAAAACACTTAATACACTCAGCACAATTCTAACTTACTTCACTGAACTCACTTTCCACAAAATCTGAGCAACTGAGGCACTTTGAAAAGTATCAGCTTCATTCATATAAGTATACAGGATGCAGCAGTAAGGGCTGACAAGTTTTGTCTTTTAATTACTCACACAACATGCAACACCGACAAGCAATTTTGTTTGCAACACGTAAAGCTGAACCAAAGCTAGAGCCACCGAGGATAGCCCCATGGGGCTGAAACACACCAGGCATAATAAATTGTAAATAAATGGTAGTTAGTGATGAAAGCGGTTGGAAAGTTGTGTTACGATTATAAAGCTTACTGATATGCTGGAGGACTGAGCATTTTAGTCACAACATTTTTTAGAGTTTTTGTTTCATGTACAGATGCTTGTCTGGTAAGATGGGACAGGCATAAAGTCCGCAGTTTTGTACGCAATTTTTGAAATTACAGAACTGAAATATTAACATCACAAAGGACTTAACCCTTTCCATCACATGGGAAGAAGAAAAATCAACAAATTAAATTAAAAATTCTCCCAGGGCCACATCACGACCAACAAAAATTTCTTCTTGTGTTTCATTGGTCATTTGCCTATCATATTTTGCTGCTGGCCACTGCAAAATGGCAACAAATTATAGAATGCTCTAAATGGTGTCTGCTGCCATATGAAATTTTGAACTCCTTGAAAAGCATAATGTATATTACAGGGATTCAGAAGTTTAAATCCCTAGACACCTTTTTGCAGATAATTATGCTGTTATGACTCAGTGACATCTGATGTCTGGAATCATTATTAAGCAATACTCTTGCTACAGAGCACAAGATAATATTCTGGAGTTCTGGAGTCACTGAAACATGAAATTTACTTTCTGCTTCATCCTATTTTTGAACTGATATGTTTTCTTCTCCCAAGTAAACAAAAAGTGAACATGGGAACTTCCACTCCTTTACTAAACAAAAACATAAAACAGAACACAAAAATATATTCTGGTTTCTGTCACCTACTTCAGAGAAATCTGTAACCCAAACTGAACTTGACAAGATAATACCTGGTATGCCTGAAACTGCAGCTGCGTGGCGCGACAAAACTGCTGGGCAGCACGCCCATTAAATAATCCCTGAGGACAACAATGTATGTTACAAACATAGCGACTGTTCAATTCTGTGTACTTTACAAAATTGCTATAAACACAATGTTAAAATGATGTTCCAAAAAGTTAGGATTCTGATTTCAAAATGTATATGCTAATCATAGTATATAACTGTGTTCTAACTTAATAAATAAATTCCACATTTGAAATTATTAATTTCATATCAATAAACACTAAGTAGCAAAATCCACAAATGCTGTTACTTGATGTCTATTTTCTACTGATGACTATCTGTGCTTAAAATGGCTTCAAAATCAAATCCATATCCATAATCCCTAAGTTGGTAGCCAACTTCACTTGAAGAAGCTTCATGGACTACTTCAAAGTCATACGGAATAAGTACATGTAAGACTACACAAAATCTGTTCCAACAGAACTCTAAAATGACTAATACATACTTAAAATACACAAAAACAAAGGAATGGGTCAACAAACCCATCTAGAGCAGACTGTAGCTTGCATTAAGTAACAAAATTTCCATAAATTCACCACACAGTTTGAGGCAAATACCTTGCCATGTTTAAGATCTCATGAAGATTGCTGTCTTCTGGGTTGTTGCACCATGTAGTCTGGTAGATGCCCACCAACATTTCATACCTCTGTCACCAGGGCGAATGTCGGTGGACATCTACCAGACACAACAACCCAGAAGACAGCAATCTTCAGACTCACTGCTATGAAAACTTATCATTTCCCAAGGGGCCTGGTGATTTTGGGGTCAGTGCTCACTGTCTAAACCCAAAATCAGTGCAGACTGTAATTCATAAGGTCCTGGGTTTGAAACTTTGTCAGATGTATGCAGATTTTTGTACTCAAAGACTGAAATCTACACCTCCATCAAAGACAGAACTTGGAGTACACCAGGTCCCAACAGGGGTTCAAAGATCACATCACACTACAGACAACCTTCATAATCACACTATCATTTGTGGTATGGAATCCACTATATGGGTGACCTACACCTCAGAAATATTTTAAACTTGCCTAATGTTGGCAGGTCATTACTGACCATCCCTTGGGGCATTAAATATCATCCCACTTTTCACTGCCATACAGACCCAAGTTTTCCTATAAGTAAATGACCAAATAAAGGCCCACAAATCCAGAATAATGTAACATTAGTAGTGATAAATGTTACATTTCAGTATTTTATGAACTTCTCAGTTTTCACAAATTTCTTTGGTCCAGTTATTTTATGAGGTCAGTACTTCATTATACAACAGTGATTATTACCCTCTTTCCACATTTTATAAAAAAAACAGCCTTTTGGTAACACATCCATGTGCTCCCCCCCGCCCTTAAAATAATCTACAAACTAACCGATGGATTTTCATGTAATATGGTATAGGCATCATGCTACTCAAGGACAGTCCAGTATTGGACATTTTAATTTATTTTCATAAATAATACCAACATGGTGGTCACATGAAATTTGTGAGGTATGAGTGCACTCGTGCCACATAATGAAAGGACACAAAACTTCGTGTCATGATGGATAATCACAAAATATGCAACTTTTGCTGAGGAAATTCTTTTGCAGAATAATGAATTCTTCTCGGGCTACCAAGAAGAATTCATTTATACTTCATTGCTGTGAAAACTTCAGATCATACATCTTTTACAGAATGTAAAAAACATGTAAAATCAAGATTTACTCTCCATCTGGTGTGATAGGACAGAAATGCGCTTACAAATTCTGAATAAAATATTTCTTCTACATTCACAATTTCAAACAAAGAAACCATGTGAAACTTTTAGATTATACCTGACAAACTTATAACAGAAACCTGTACTAGTGAAATTCATGTTCAAAAGGTTTCTGCAACTAGAGTTCACTGTATAACTTCGACTTATGGGTGAGAGCAACGCCAAATGTCTGGTTTTAACCAACGGCACCCTGAAAATGGCAACTGCAATGTTTGCCGAAATTTTGGTTAACTCCAAGCATTTGACGTGGCTCACCTGAAATTGGAAGTTATACATTGTACTAATGAAAGTGAAGTACATAAATGGACAATTAACTGTGCAATTATTAATTTCTAGTTCCTACTAGCTTTGCAGCAAAGCTCCTCAAGGAATGTGAGTGCCGTAAGTTCTTTCAAGAACTTCTTGTGTACTATGCAAACTCATGGTCTAGTTATCATGATTCATTCCCACAGAGCTAAACCTCACTATCTGGTTAAAAGTTGGCAGTCAGAATGTTCAATAAACATTATGACATGCATATAAGTGGCACTTGTCCAGGTACATTGGAGCCTATGTGTTAAAAATTTATACTATTCAATAATCAAGTTGAAACACAAGCAATGGGAGTCTGTACAGTCAAGCTGAGGGCATCCACCTTCATTCTATAGTCTAAACATTTCCAGTATGTTACTTGGCCCACATTTTGAAGCACCATATTAATATTCTTCATCGTGGGAATAAATGACAAGACCATATTAGCCTTATTTGATGCAGTCCAAATAATAGAGACAAAGAAAAATTTTGGGAAAGTACATACCCCCATTATATCATCTCATTAATAAATCTCTAGAACCAAGGCAAGCAAGTGTGACAGGTATAATTCTGGTAGAAGCGGCAGGAAGAAAATGTAATACTGCTTATTACAGTACTATTCAAAGGTAAAATAAATCTATTTTGTCATGCAGGATTTGAGGTTTTCACAGTGGTGAGTATGAATATTGCTGTCTTCTGGTGTAGTCTAGTAGATGTCCACCAACGTTTCAGGGGTCCATGCTGCCCCCGTCATTGCCCTGATGACGGAGGCAGCATGACCTCTGAAACGTTGGAAGACATCGACCAGACTACACAGCGCAACAAACCAGAAGACAGAAATCTTTTGTCATGTTATTCAAATGCAGTATGAGTTTTGAGGAAAAAACTTTTTGTTATATATCAGAAGTTTTCAAAATTTCAAGCCCTGGGGCCCATTTATTCTTTATATGCAAAGTTCTTGAGATTCAGTTATGGAATTGATGCTACCTTCACAGTTCATAAATAGCTAGGTGATTTGTGCAGTTTGACAGGCCCTAATATTGGTTTCCTCACTAGGATTTTTTTCCTGAAAGTACAGGAAACATTTGCTTCTTCAGAAATGAGCTATAAAGGTTATAGAGCACAACAACAAATAGTGTGAAAAACATGCAGTTCTAATACCACTGCGGCAGGGCAAATCTGTGAGGAAAGACGCAAGTCAGCTCTGAAATTCCGATGGTATTTCACCAAATCATTCACCAGGAGGCACTAAGCTGCCAAACTGTGTCACTGGAGGACGTTACAGACATTGTTATTTTAACAGTGAACTACATTCGATGCGACAGAACTACCTACCAACAGTTCCAGCACTATGTAGAAGAAACTGAAACAAAGTATGGTGATGTCTATCACTCAGCAGTAAGACAGCCAAACAGAGGTGCAATCCAAAAGAGATTTTTTTCAGTTACTATCTGAAATAAACATTTCAGTACTAATGAACACTTACATGCTACGTTATGAATTTCATCTTTGAAGCAAAATATCCACAAATTAGCTGGTGACATCCAACCTCATAAATCTTCTGACTTTAAAACACATTTTATTAAAGTATAAAATATAAGTGCTGTCTTGTTACTGATCTACTATGCTTCAGCATGATTTAACATGCCTTTAATCGAGACCACTCTGAGTCTCATTTGCAACTTTTTAATTTTATTACGATGATGGATATGAAAACTCACAATAATGCCCCAATCTCCTTTCAATGATCATCGCAGATTAAACATCTTTAACCATGAATTTTTCTCACAGCGTCAACTGATGATTATGAGGAACTTAATTGCTGAATTATGTAATGACCCAGTACTAGGTTTGTATGGGAAAATAAGGAGGGTATGCAGAAATTATCACGGGAGGTTTCTGAAATAATTCCGTAACTTTAATAATTTCAGAATTATTAACACACTCTCTATGTATAAAAACGCACACAGAAGAAACACAAAATCGGTATTTGACTACGTAATAATAAACTAGAAACTGAAAATGACAAAGAGAATCAACACCTCTTAACAACTAGCAACATAGAATACCACGTACATTTACAATCAATGAATAAGTTACTTCTAAAGAAATAACATCGGAAGTAAGCTCGCTGGATGGTCACATCAGCGATCGCGCAACAAATAACCAGATTTGTTACCCAGCAGCCCTAAGAATGGGAGCAGAGATTGTTCTCAAAACGTTGGCAGAACATATGGTTTCACCATCAGCCACCTGATACAGCTTGTAACTTGAGAGTCTTAAGCCTCATATTAAAACTGAAAATGTTTCCACTAGAATTATCTTGTAGAGCTGACAAATTCCTTTCAACTACGTAATTCTGTTGAAGTCATGGCAAAGAAGTACAGTATCATGATAAGAAATAATGGTTACTGAAGAATGCTATAAAACAGCTTGGGTAACATCTGGCCTATGATCCACTGAAATATCTAATATGGCCTAAAAATATAAGACATATCAGTAAATATTACAAAAATAATATGGACTTTACATATTCATGAATTTTCTATGCATCTACATTCCTGAAACACTAGTAGAGTTAACAGATACTTAGAAAAATAAAAAGTCATATAAACCACAAATAACGAAGATTAGAAAAATCACAAAGGGGTTTGTAACACTGATACTGACTTTCTTTGGGTGGCACTGTCAGACATAATAAAAACTGAAACCACTACAGTTTCAAATTCTTCTTTTGATCGACCAATACTAATTTACAGCACTAATCACCAAACCAGTGTCTGTTCCTGTACTTTATCAGAAGGCTTCAGACAATATAATTCTCCGGTACAGGCCCACTGCCAAAAGCCTTTGACCACCAACGAAATTTCTGCCATGACTGTGTTCCAAGTCATATCTTTGTTGCTGACTGTAAATAACTGTCATAATTATATAATTTAAGTATGTATTTGTGATGACATTTACATCCTTGGCTTAGGCCTACCAAGATTCTATGTAATGTAAATCTTTATTCTTTGACATCTCTTCTAGTAGTTCATATTCAGCAATAACAGATGGCAGCAGTTTACATGCAAAAACATACACAAGTGTATTTGTCTTTTTCATTTCAATTAATGTGTGCTGTAAATTGAAAGGATGCTAAAGGGTTGTCACAAAACATCCTAAACTCTATTTGATCGCAATTCTGATATTCTCCTTCTGTGTGTACATAAGAACTACTTCTGATGAATAAATTTTGTAGTGACTGCTTCCCTAAAACGCATCAAACAAAACAAAAGTGAAAATACAAATTTAAAAAACCTCTAGTTTCAAACAGCAAAAGAACACAAAATTTCCTGTATTGAATATATAGTTCATTCAAGTACTGCACAATTTCAGATGGAAAAAATAACTTCTGTTCATAACTAAATAGCAAATGAAGCCAATATCCTTGCAGCCCGATTCATGATCTCAACTGAGTTACAAAATTCCTTATCAAGAAAGAGTAACTTTCTGCCTCAGAAGCCAACTGGATTCATTCCACATGGAATCTATCAATATAGTGTGTCTGTGTATCACCTACATCAGAAGAATTTAAAGGATGAAAAACATTTCTTAAGCTGCATCACCAGAAGAAAGAGGGAACCAATAAAGATGGCCGTCTTCTGGCTCATAGCACCATGTAGTCTGGTAGATCAGGGTAATGACTCATCACCCTGATGATGGAGGCAGCAAGGACCTCTGAAATGTTGGTAAACTTCTACCAGACTACACAGCGCAACAACCCAGAAGACAGCCATGTTTGTACTCAACACCGCGAGAACCTCAAATCCTACTAAGTATGAAACAAGTACTATTGCATTAACAAAGATCTTGAGACACTACATCCCCAAACACAGCCTGCTTCTTACAGCATCATCAGCTCTCAGCGCCTGCCACGGAGGACCCCGTATATGTCGAGGAAAGTGATACAATTTTTATTTTTGAATTTTCTGGCGGTAGCATAGCTACTGATAAGGCCTCCCTAGCCAGATTGGTTAAAGGGGAGAGGTCAGACTAAGAGAGGTACTCTGGTCCTCCAGGTTGGGGGTTGGTTGCAAGGCTAACAACCTTGCACAGTAAAAAGGAAGATGTTTTGAAACCTCAAAGCCTCGGACAGACGGACCTAACAATAGGACCGAATGGAAGAGGAGAAATGAGGAGGCCATGGACCGAATACGGACCAGAGAGCAATAGAAGAAGAAGAAGAAGATATTAATTTGTAAATAAGAAATATTTATATTTCCCACTGATGCGCACATAAGTTTTCACATCTACCTCCAAAGGATTATTGCTTGTGGCAATTCAATATTGCACTTAATGTCGGCAGTTTCTGTAGTTCTTTCCTGAGGCAATGTAATAAAGATTTCTGTCTTCTGGGTTGTTGCGCTGCCTCCGTCATCGGGGCCCTGATGACGGTGGCAGTATGACCTCTGAAACGTTGGTTAACATCGACCAGACTACACAGAGCAACAACTCAGAAATCTTCATACTTACCACTGTGAAAACCTCAAATCTTACAATGTAATCAAGTCTTGGCATTATCAGGTTAATTCACAATGACGCTTATGAGCCCGCAGGTAGCACGTGGCAACACATTACCTACAACTGCAAATTCCTTTAAGCAGATCACCATTTCATATAACTCATCCATTTGGGCATTCTACACAAATGACACACATTCAGTACCTTATGAGTAGCAATAAGAAGAAAAAACATCGGAAAGCAAAAGCTACGAGAAAGACACGTCTACTTACCGGTTCATGTGGATGCCTGTAATCTGAGGAACTTTCTCCCACGGTGCTTCTATCGTCTCCTATACTTCGATCCCATTCTACTTCCTTCTTCAAGGACTGCAAGAATTTAAAACAGGGTTTCAATCAAAACTGCATTATAACATCCACAGTGAAAGGATGGAGTACAATAATAAGAAATAAAATAATTTTAAGATAACTCTGAACAGATTTTATGCACTCTAATATAATTAATGTCACTTCAACTGGCCTGTAAAGAAAGTGTCTTAATATCTAATTTTTTCGGTACTTATGGGTTATCGGGACACAAACGAATGTTTCATTGTAGAAGTACCTGACCGTTCGTTCACAACTGTAACTTATGTCATTTATCCACACACATTAACCTAACCTATTTTTAAAGTGATGTGTCCCGATAGCCCACAAGTACCTTTTTTTCTAAGTAAAGTATTTTTGTTTAAATTAATATTATGCTGGGAGATACAAATAAAATTCTCATACACAACTGTTCTTGTCCTGCTATTTCAGGATAATTCTAATCTTGCTAAAATATCATGAGCCTGAACCAGATAATGAAAATTCTTACAGTGGCTCAAACGTGAGACGAAATGCCAACCTCGTTCTACGACTGAGATTTACCTATCCCATACAAAACTATGGTCTTGTCATTAGTGAATTGGATATATTTTTAATATTAGTGCCTTACTGATCACATTTACTTCTTACTCAAGATAAATCTACTGTTTACTGCATACATTTTCATACTTCCAGCACTGAATGAAATTTGCACCCACACTATTAACATTGTGGATAAAAAATAAATACTCGAGAGATTTTTTACCACACAGTATCAATCACTTAGTTAATTATCTTGTATAAAATGAGAAGGCACTTATGCAGCTATAGTGAATTGGAAAGACAGGAGAAAGCGTGAGAGTGCGTGCACGTCCTATCGATTTTCTCGACCAGGACTGACAAGAGCCACAAATACCCTAGGTCACCCCAGTCAGTGCCCTCACTGTAAAATTACCTTGCTCTACAATTAGGTAATTTCTCTTAATTAACCAATGTTGCATAGGAACTTACACCCGTGCACTAAAGGGCTACTGGCGCGACTTTAAATGAGTGGTTTAACAGTATTTTAGTGTGACGCACAGTCAGGTAAACTATGCATAAGCCACGACTCTTGGTCGACACAGGTTATAATGTTTTATGCGTTTCATATCTCCCCTCCCCATATGTGCTATGTGTCGTCATCTTCTCAGCTGTTGCACACGTAATTTTACAATGAACACGCTGCCTCGAACTTCAGGCTTCAATCCTACACAAGCACGACAAAAAAGAGATCATAATCTAAACCCACAATCAATTTTCTTACCGTACAGCTTGTATGACTTAAGAAAATTTGTCAAACCATATCTGCTGTAAGATATGTGTTATGCATTGTGGACTCATAAATAATTACTGATACCAATTTATAAAAAATTTTACATAAATTATTTGAACCTTATATTTTCTCCAATTTATTAAATTTTGTTTTGTTATTATATTTATTTAAATTTAAAACCTAACACTGCACATACAATCTTAATCCTAAAGTCTAGAACTGTGCTTGCCTAGAGAAATCTGATTTATCAACTACAAAATGCCCTGACAAAGAGAATGACTAATAATTTGCATGAAAACTAGTCTTTTTTAGTTTTAACCATATACTTTTTTCTTTTGAGGAAGGCAGTGACATTAAAATAAACAGTTTACATGCAGACATGGGCAAGGTACATAAGGAATCACTCACAATTTTTGTTTAAATTACAGAATGACAAATGCATTATTCAAAAACAAAACATTGGGAAAATCTTTCTGACTTCCCAGATGTAAATTTCACTTGGGAATACTTACAAGAGGAACCTGCTGCACTGGTAACATGCCAGATGGGCCGGGCATGGGCTCACTGCTGTGTGGTGATGGCAATCTGCTTGCGGCAGTGACCGCAGTAGCGGGCGGATTACACGAGGTTGCGTTAGTAGTTACTGACATGTCACTCGGTCCTGCACAACCACCATGAACAGAGGAGAGATCATCAACATCTGGTGTTTCTACCCTCCCAGCCCCACCTTCATCACAACTCTCATTGTCATCGCAACCAGAGTCATGTCGAACTTGAGATGCCCTTTTACTTGGGGGTGGTGATAAGCTTCCACCAGGAGGTGGTGGTGTATCAATATCCTCATTCATCAGTCTTGTCGCTTCTGCCACCTCTGTTGTCATTGGTGTATCTGGCACGTTTATGCTGTTAGCACTGTGTTTTGGTTGCTGTTGGTGTCCCTCACCCCTGTCTTCCCTGGCAGAATTTAAGTTTGTCATCTCTGCAAGGCCCTTTACTTTCAAGCTTTCTGCAGTCTTCAATAGGGCTGACAACTGACAGTATTCTACATTCACTTCACCCTTGTACATAAATTCAACAAGAGTTCTCAATTCTGCAAATCGCACGTCTTTCAGTATGACAATTGGATGACGATTCGGATGGTCCACAAATAGGGTCTGGAAGTAGGAAGAGCACGCCGAGAGTACTACCTTGTGAGCACGGATTGAATGACCCTCAGCACAAGCAAGTGTTACATCAACAAGGCTCTCGTCTTGAAGCAGCTGACTGAACACACCCAATAAGTTACTTTGATGATTGTTCCACCTAAGGCAGTAATGCTCACTTCCCATGTCTGTGATCTCACCCTATACAACAGAATAAAACAACTCTGTTAGTACAATTAATCGTTAACACATGCAATGGTATAGGTTAAGGTACAACTTTATAAACAAAACATTCAATTCTTCTACTATTTCATTTCACCTGCTGAAGAAACCATGTGGCACTTGTGAACAAATGTGTACAAAAGACATTATTAGTTCGTACGTAAGTACTTTACGCAGTCTGAACTTCCATATGTGCGCCTAGGCCAGCACCATGTTTCCAAACAAACGTCACAAAACGCTACACTGACGCACTTCTTTCCTGCCAGTAAACATCGACTATAATGATCACATAAATCGATCTAATCAACGAAAGGAGGAAAAAATTTTGCACAATAAGAATGACCACCCTCTTCAAAATGGCGGAAATTTTGATGATTCTTATGGGCCCTTCAACACATTTGGCAGACTGACCCTTCATCATTAAGAACAAGACACTTATAAAGAAAACATTCAATATTGACTCCACAAACGAAATATTGCTGAAACCATATGCAGACACAACTTCACTAACAGAAAATCACTGCTAATTAAGTTTACACACAAATATTTACCTTGCTACATGAAACGGAATAAGGCCTGCCACTTCAGCAACGGCGGCTCACCCGGCCTTCTGTGACGTCGCCGGCCTACTGTCAACCGCGCAGTTGACTACCTACGTACATCCAACAAAGCTTGTATCAAGTTTCAACTGTTTATTTCGTACTTTAACGTAACTCAAACACACTTTAAAATAAATTAATGTATTTTAAACTTAGGAAAAGATTCATATACTTAGAAAATAGCTGAAGTACGTCTATCTTACAGTGTTAGAAGTACTTGATTTGACTAGTGCAAGCGGTCAAGCGAGTAGAGTGGGGGTGGGAAATGCTTGTAGCACACGCACGTCTGCTCTCCGAATATTTTCGAGTCATTAGCTAACGCTTCCGTATTAGAATGTGGACTGATGTAATGTAGGCCGCGGAATTACGATTTGGATGGGAATTCTTTACACCTTTGACGTAATATTAAGTTACAGCATTTCCGATATGTGCTAAAAGACTGGCATGTAAGAAATAAATACAGATGCGTCATTATATATTTTTGCACCTGAAGATGGAGATGTAACCAGCCTCTGAAGCGTCGTATTTACTTTTTATCCAGAAAATTTACCCTCTGAACAATAATATTCCATACCGAAAAGCAAAAATATTTCCCTGTTCTTTAAATATGGACTACATCATACTCAAAAGATGTTTTAAAAATAAATTAATTAAATATCGATTCATGTTGTTTACCAACATGTATTATTATCAGCTGTTTAATTTTTACTTAATTTCTACCGACAAATCTGATGGCGACCTACCACCACATTTAGTAACAAATGAGTTGTGAAATTTCCTTAGATAAAACATGTGATTCCTTACAAAATGGTACCGTGTGACGAGTTAAATAAAAAGGAAAGAATGCAATAATTGTATATCAATGCAACTTTCCTTTGTGTTTTCAAGCCTTTTCGCGAACTTCTGCACGTATCTTTATTATAATAAATAAATAAACAAATATGTCTAAGAAGCTTTACCCGGACGGTGCTACAGACTTATGAGTTTTATAAAATGAAGTCAGATCGATTCCGACTTTCGATTAAAATATTCCGTCTATTTTAATTTCCTCGAAGGAGCCCCACTAAGTCCAAATTATGTTAGTTAAATTGTAGGTGCATTTTCTTTAATCAGTCGTTAAATAGGTCTTATTTTCTTCTTCTGATCACGAAGTTAGCCCAATAAATGACCTGTTTCTGCCCAAAACTGTAGCCGTGTCGTAGTGATGTTCTCACGGCGGCGAATATGAAGATGGCTGTCTTCTTTAATTTTGCGCAGTCCACTCTCGTAAAAATTTAACGACGTTTCAGAGGTGATTGCTGCCTCTATCATCAGTGCCCTGATCCCCGAAGACGGTCATACAGTTCTTCGTTTTCCACGCGGGCGTAGCCAAGAAAGAGTTCATTAAATATGTTGCCAGCGCCATTGTAATTATTTAAAACTCTGTAACTTAATCCCCCCTTAAAAAGAGAAAAAACGGAATTGATGTTTAAAATCATATGTTCAATACTCGTTCATAACCAATCATCACAATGCAGTTAAGGATTTACAGTGTTTCACACAAATCATCTCCTTTTTGCAAGAAACAGGAAGGTAGTGACCATGTACTCCATGATGTTGATCTGTAGGAGCCAGCGTTTCGAAGAAATATACTGTCTCAATCTTCAGGGCTGAAACCCTGTTTCTACGAAACATTGGCATATATCGAGGAGTCTACACGGCGCAAAAACCCAGAATATCATCATCATCTTCGCTGCTTCAAATCTCACAAATTTATTCCATTTATTTAGTGGTGAAAAATACGTCACGTAACATTTTTATATAAAAATTAAATGGCATAGAAACATGAAAATAATTCTTACTCTTGCCTTACTATGGCGATCGAATTAAGGCAGGAAGTATACTCGGAAATATAAATGGACAGGCCTACAAAATTTTCGTCGTAAAACTTTAAAGACACAGACCACGTGGGATTGGACTTCTGATTTTAAATAATAGGCATATTATCACAAAAATCCAACATTATACAAGTGTCATGTCGTGTATTTCTCAAAATATTTTCTGTTCCGTCAAGGGTCTCACAAATCACTGGTTCAAATACAGGCATATGAAGGATTTTTGACATCATTGTCACTAAAATTTGTTTACAATAATTTGCAGGTCCGATTACAATCCGCTACTTAATGGTCTCTTTTCAAAACTCGGCTTGCTTCAACATAGGTCAAGCCTGGATTTTGGTTGCAGTTATTTGTAAACCCCCCCCCCAAAAAAAAAATTAATAAAAAAAATGGATGACAGTGAAAAGGTAAGTTGAATTTCGGAGTTTGTGGAGGATTAAAAGACGATTTCAAACTCCTTTGCACGGCCTTATTTTCTAAAAACACGTTTATCATTAAACACCAATAAAAAGTCATTGCGTTACGTGTAAAGGCCGGCCAGTGTCACGCGTTTTTCAAAGTAGATCTAGGACCTACCAAAAATGTTTGAAACAAAAAGTTTCTGATCATTCGCTTTACTTTTTAATACTTTATTACTTTTGATTATGAGACATTTTATGGGAGCTCGATATAAGCTTCGCCTAATATTAGGCAACACAAAATCAATTCTGACCAAAATGGAAGACGTTCCTTACAAAACTTAATAGAAATCTGTAGGGAGTAAATAAACGTGAGACAGTCGGACTGATATAAACACATGAATTTCTCATTACACGTTAACTTTGAGACTGATAACAATTCTGCAAATCTGAGAGTAATACAGCACACAATTATCGCCGCAAAACCCCCAGGGAAAACGTATTTTGGTAGACATAAGACCAGGTGTGAGATGGCAATAGTAAAATAAGCATAATGAGGAACTGGATGAAAAGGTAGGAGGTGTGTGCAGGAAGTGACGAGCAAACGAACATCAGGTATAGAAGTAAGTTGAGTCTGGGGCGATGTCCTGACGAGCTGAGCGAATATCAGCTTCCCAAGAACTCTGCTACGTGAAATTAGTTCGCTAAAGAACACTTCAGATACTCAAACCTTTCACAGGTTTACAGATAGCAACAAATTTTAGGGCGGCCATGTTTGCCACAAGAATATCAAATATCCAAGTCTCCAGCGGGATTCGAACCTGCGATCACAGTTTTTCAAAACGGCCAAGATCCGACGCCTCATATCTTTAGTTAATTCCGATTATAGATTTTGAACAACACTGCAAGTGTGACACTGGCAGCGTGTCTAGGGTTTTTATAACGACGCACTTCAGCAACCGAGACGTACAGAGAATTAAGGGCGACGAAGGGAGATTTTATATGGACAGTTACAGGGAGAAATTGTTGCAACAAACTTTCACTTCAACACGCAGTGCTGATAAAATCTGTCGTTTTGGAGACAGAATATCCCACGAGATGGGAATATTGGGAAACTTGAGATTCTTCGATGTTTTACATAAATGTTCAGAAGGAAGTTATAAATTGAGGAGAAACATACCTGTAGAACTGTATGTCACACGCGCGTGCGCACAACAGTTCATCATTGATAGTTTTATCGAACATGTGTTGTCTCGTCTTCATATGTCCGGATTCTTTTGGGACAAAGATTTATATGTAGATAATTTTTATGGCCATTTATAGTTTCGTACCCCTTTTTCGTGAGGCGTAATTGTATTGTATGCGCTCACACGTCCTTGACAAATTAGGGTGTGCCGGGACTTGATAAAGGTTACACAGAACACAAGTTTAGATCGACTATCTGCATTCGCGTGGGTAATGTAGCGAAAGACGTAATGAAGATATCACAACGTGGGTTGATACAAAAATGTAGACGTGATGTAAACTGAAGAATGGGAGAACGTGAATGATCAAACAAAGTAATTCAATGAAAGGCAACTGGTGAACGTGGAACGTGCGAGCCAAAACCACTGGATTGAGAAGAAAATTTATAACACAACGGGACAAATTCGAAGGAATGGGACTCGAATGGAGCTGGAAAGGGGAACACGTAGAAGCGGGGACGTTCCAAGCCAAAAAAATATACGTGCGCGTATTTCGGAGGGCAGCGCGGATGGATACAGGTACATTGATACACAACTTCTCTTTGGGATCCGTGTTCTCCACTTCTATCAAAGTTCGATGCAGACACGCATCTCATCAAGCAGCCTCACTAGAGCCTGATTTACGCACGATGACGGAATTCCGATCACTCCACGGGAGAAATTACGGATTTTAATGGCTTAAATAGTGCAATTGTTTTTTAAAACGGTCATCTTGTTGGGTGTATCGTGGAGTCACGTAACACTCTGGGCAGCGCGTCCTTGAGACAGTTGATGGAGGCGATAATGTTAATGATAATAATAGACAGCATCTTTATAGGCTGCTAAAACCTTGATTCATGTAATATTGTATCATGTCGTGTCCTTAGGGACAACTGTGACGAGCTACATCGTGAGGGTCGTCCCTTTGCAGCTGACAGCTGATCCCTCATTATCATGGATACAATGACTGTGTATAAAATGGCACCTAACCAAACCTAACCTAACCTTCCTAAGATCTCTTTTTACATTATTCTTAAAACTGAAATCCCTGATGCCTCCAAACAATAAGTTATGTACATGCTTTGCCCATATAGTTTTAAATCCGACAATATTTAACAGCGTTATTGTCTCAAGTATGGAAATAACGAAAGTCATTGTTTGTCTCTTGTTGTTTGTTGTTCAGACACTGTCAACAATTTGTCTCACATACGAACTACAGTGTCTTACCATTACGTCACAACCGTCATAACGCATACGTCACAGCTGTACGACGATCCGATCTCTCTTCAGAGATCATTACGTCGTACAATCACGATTT